AGTGGAAGATGAGTCTAAGGTGAATTTTGTGAATGAAAGAAAGTTTTTCAATTTTAAAAGGAAGAAACCTGAAAATACTAATTCTAAGAACAATAAAAAGAAAAATAGAAATTGCTATAATTGTGGCAAGAGAGACCATTACAAATCTGAATGTAGGTATGACAAGAAACAAAAAACTAGTGGTGCTTTAACTGCAAATTTTGTTGATGAAATTTCAGAAATCATTGTTATGATGTCACTTGGTATAGTGGTTGACGTGAACATGACCACACCTAATTCTTTCAAGGATTGGTAGTAGGATTTTGGTGTAGCCATTCATGTGTGTAATGACAAGAGTCAATTCAAAGATTATGAAATTCTTAAAGGACATTAAGTGGTAATGACAAATGGTGTAAGGACCAAAGTTCATGGCAAAGGTTGTGTAAATATCCAATTCACTTCCGGCAATAAATTAGTTCTCATAATGTCCTTCATGTTTCGAATATTGTAAAAAATCTTGTCTCTGCTGATGTTCTTAATAAGAAAGGGTTGAGAGCTATACTAGAGGCCAACAAAGTAATATTGTGCAAGATTGGTGTATTTGTTGGAAAAGGCTACTCTTGCAATGGCATGTTTAAGTTGAATATCAATGAAATTGATAATGCTTCTCTTTACTTTGTTGATTCTTCTTATTCTTTGTGGCATGGTGTATTAGAATATATTAATCACAAAGTGCTGCAACATATGTGTAAAAATGGTTTAATTTTATTTAGTGATAATGTGAATAAGAAGTGTGAAACCTGTGTTCAATCCAAAATAACAAGATCTTAGAGAGGTGGATACTATGTGAAACATGTGTTCAACCCAAAGATACTAAATATTTTAAAATTTTAAAACTAAGAAGCATTATTGCAAACATTTGAGTTAAGCACATTTTCCAAGGGAAAGGCATGGAATGGGTGGTTTGGAAGGAGAGAGTGTAAGTGAGAGGTTTCGGATTTGATCTATTCCACTTACACTATTAAAAAAAAAAAACACATTTTACATTCTCAAGAATTATCTAAGGACAAAGTCAACATATCACATAAAAAAGCCATGAACCTGTTAAGAAACTCGTGTTTTAAGGCATACTCTATGCGTGTGCAAGTAATTGTAATTATGATCATCTATATAAACATTTTTCAAGCAAAAAAGGCTTCACACTAATGAAATTTTTTTAAAGGAATATAAAAAAATAAAAATCTATTGTGAAATTTTTTGTTTGGTATTTAGTTATTTATCTGCTAGTTAATTTTAATTTTTGATAATTATTAACATAATATTTTTATGTGAACTGCTTAAAATTAGGAGAGCGGGGAAGTAAATAATTCCCCAAATTACCTTTAAACCCATTAGTTTTATATGTGAGGAAATGTAAATACTCTTAGTAGGAAGAGTAGGATAGGGAGTTCAAAAAATCAACAAATGTGTGTCAACACACCATATAGTGCTAACCCTTCGTATATTGTACATTGGGGGCTTTGGGCAGACTTAGTATCAATTTTAATTATCAATAAAATAAAAGTTTGACTAAAAATTTTCTCTTTGTTATTATTATTATTATTATTTGTTTTTTGGAGCAAAGAAGACTTTCACTGATGCATATCACTTTTAGCAGCTTTTACAATAGCGGGTGGAAAATTATTAGCGAGCAAATGAGTTGGGACATTCCCAGTTCTACGGATATGAATCACATTTACATTTATGGAATCCTTCAACTAGGTTCCTGACCAAATGTCCAATCCAGTTCCTTGCCATCGATTCTTCTGTCACTTTCCCGCACGAAAGCTTCTACGCCTACTTCATTCGCAATTCCTTCAGCAATTGCCGCCATAATCCGTCCTCCTCCATTCCTGACTACTATTCCACTTACTGTCTTTTCTTCAGTCCAAGCAGCATCCGCAGTAATCTTCAATAGGGCTCTTTCAGGAGTGCTTCCATTTTCTGGTCAAAACTTGAGTAGCCATACCCCTATTTGATGATGCCTTGGCTTGCCTTAAATCTAATAAATGTGTTCTGACTTAGTTCACTACTACCGCTGCTCTCGTGATAATTCCTTCAAACATTAACTTGTTTCTGGCATGCCATAGATTCATTATTATCATTTGAATCTCGATCCCATTAACAAATTCTAAAATTATCCCCGTCAATTCTTTCATGCCTGAGGCTTTAATCTCTCTAACTAATATCCGTACTCAGGTCTGCCAGCTCCCAAATATCATCCACAAATTGATGTGCAAAAATAATATGCCAATCATCTTCCTTCAGTTCACTACACCAGGGGCACGATGAATTAGGCTCCATTCTTTTCTTTAAGTTCACCCCTGTTGGGAGGCTATTCCAGCACAACCTCCAAGCAGAACATTTTACTTTTGGAGGTAGTTCTTCCCAAATTTAGAAAGGGAAGGTTTAAACCCATAAGATTTTGGTAGCCAAGGATCTTCCCAAATTTCACCGCATTACCCTAAAGTTTCTAATTTACTTTAACACATGCATTATTATAGGAAAAAATTCTTTATTGTCTTTCTTTCTTATCATATATTCTCAGCTTGTAGCATTTAATATGATGCGAAAACAAAAACAAAAAAAAAAAAAAATCCAGAGGCATGAAATATTGAAGTACTTAATCCAGAGGCATCAGTTTTTAGCGCTTAATAGACTATCTGTGGGCGAGGTATTGAAGAACAAATATGCACAAGAACAAGACAAAGTGGAGTTCCGAAAGAAACCAGGGGCATCACATGGAGAAGTATTGCAGAGAGGGAGTAAATTACTTGACAAAGGATGCAGCTGGAGGCTCGGAAATGGCTTGAAGATAAGATTTTGGAGGGACAACTGGCTTTTGCAGAGGCCTCTTGGGGAGGAAGCAATCAATTAATTAAGATATACTACCAAGATCGTGAGAAGAAGAAGAAAGTTAATGTCTACTGGGAACATAGAATTCTTTGTCGGAGTACTTAACAGAGGACGTTCTATTCTCAATAAATTACAGCTTTTGTTGGTGGCCGACAATCCAAACAGAGAAAGTTGAACATGCTTATACTACTGCCTTCTAACAAGAGAGAAAATGGGATGCAATCAGTTATCTCTTTCTCAAGTTATTTGTCCCCATTACAGTACAAACAACAAATTTCCTGGCGAAGTGGGTGAATACTAAGCTGGAAATTCATTTGACTGGTGAGCTAGTTTATGTTGCAAAGCAATTTACAAGGAATTTAATTGCAGGCAACGGAACATACCGTTGCCTTTAGCAGGGCAAGAAGTCGAATTTGTAATGCATTTGCACCAATTTTGAGTCAGTTTTAGTGGTGAATATTGACCTGAAATTGGGGCATGTTGAGGATCTGTGTCTTGATGCATACTGACATTGAAAGAAAATCGGGCATGTATAAGACCATCTAATAGACATGCAAACAACTTAGGACACATGAAAAAAGTACACGCTATTTTTTTTTGCTTTTAGTTTCTATAACAATTGCTATTTTATTTTCTTGAGACTAAGTAACCGGTACTATTTTGACTCTTCATTAATTTCCTGCTGGTTTCATGCCATTTTGATATTGTGTTCCTCGATATGATTAATTTACTCAACATGCCAGAACCTGGAGGTGGCACTGAACAGTGTTGCATTTTTAGCAGAAATTTTATTCAAAAAATTACTGTATTTGATGCTTCTTAATTCTCAGTGATTGCTAGGGCCGCCATTGTCCATTTGCGCAGTGCAAAAATGTTTGAGATGCTTTCTTTGCTGGAAAAGCCTTTCAATCTCCTTCAGAAGAATGCAAACTGCGTTGTAGAAGCTTTTTATTTATTGTAGCACAAATGTAGATGATGCCAGAAGTCCCAAAATGTAAGACTACAATTCCTTTTGAGGTAATAGCTAAATATCATTTTTTGTACTCTGAATCAGCTTTTATGCCATAAAACGAGTTGGAGTTGGAGCATTTAAGAGCTTCAAAATCGTCCACCCAATGATGCAAATGTTTTCAAAGAAATTTCATAAAGAAAGTCTAGAACTTCCCGTGGAACTTGCGTAATGAACCTGGTTTGGAAGTTGCGGTGAGCGACGAACTGTTGTGAACTTCTCTTATATCTGTGTCTGTTATCCAATGATGTTGCTTTTCTAAACACAATTTTGTCTGTTGTCATTTTTGGCTTTGACTCTTGGTGCTGCTCTGCATTTTCTTGAGTGCATTTCTGAGGATCCCATTCAGGAAGATCATTTAACTTTGTGAACGGATCAATGATCAGACATTGTCTAGCTGGATTAGAATTACATTTACAGGTTCTCATGACAGACGATGCCTGAAGTTACTAGAATCTCAAGTTTTTGTATTTGCCTCAAGTAAAAAAATGCAATAGTAATGGCTTGCAGAGAAACAGTCTATGGTCTATGGACTAGATCCAGAATGAATATCAGGAATTCATGAAGAACAAACGTACAATTATAATAATCGTGCTACAGAAATTTGCAGTTAAAAGCATGCAGACCATGTTCCAGAAGCTAATCCCAAACACAGCCAAGCAAAATCTTTCAAGCAAAAGCTGGATGTATATGCATCACCCGGCACCTATAGAGGATCAGCTGGTGTGTTGGTTTCAGCAAAGCTACAATACCTTCCTTTCTTTTTCCTGTTATTGGTATCATCTCCATCTCCAGTGCCTGCAGCAACTTCCAACAAAGATCGAGTACAAGTGCACCTCTAAGTGCATTTGTATTTGCTTACTGTATTAGCAAACAGTTACCTTTCAAGTTTTCATTACAATAGTTACTTTAGAGGTGGAATAGGATAATCCTGAACCAGTAAGCAACTCATCCTATAATCAAGAATGAATGGATTGACTGTTAAAACAGCCTCAAGTTGAAGATGCATAAGAGAACAGTCACTTGGAAAAAGAGTACTATAGTTCATCAACAGGAGGAGGAGTCAAAACTCTATTGCATTTAATTATTTACCTTACAATAAAAGTAACGTCATTCACAAACTCAGAATCAGCACCGGCAGAGTCTGTAATAACGGTCGAATTTGTGTTCTTGCTAGCTTAGTGCTACTAGAGACGCATATATGCCATTTTGTGACTTTAGCAGAGATTCATGAGTTCCAAGTTCTGCAATGACTCCATGCCTCATAACTGCTATAATGTCTGCATGCTTAATTGTTGATAATCGATGAGCTGCCACTATTGTCGTTCGATTCACCATGACCTCATTAAGTGCCTCTTGAACAACTTGTTCAGATGATAAATCAAGTGCACTGGTTGGCTCATCCAGCAGCAGGATTTTTGGTCTCCTCACTATTGCGCGTGCTATTGCAATCCTTTGCTTTTGTCCGCCAGATAATTTCACCCCGCGTTGTCCAACTTCGGTGTCATAACCCTACAGAAATTTGGTGCAAATTCACAAAGTTGAGCAATCAAATCAGAGTACAAAGTAGTCGTAAATTTAAGAAAATAGCATGTCCATCCTGCAGGTTTTTACTCACAACTAGCTCCAAGAAATTACCTGTGGCAGGTTACTTATGAAGTGATGAGCATTTGCTAGGCTGGCTGCAGATATAATCTCAGCTTCAGATACATCACGGTCCAATCCAAAAGTGATGTTGGCCTTGATTGTGTCATCAAATAAAGCTGGTTCCTGAGACACCAAAGCCATTTGCTTCCTCAACCAATTTATGTTTAGCTTCTGAATCTCAATATCATCAATCAGAATTAGGCCACCGTTAAAGTTGTAAAATCTCTGAAGCAAAGAAATTATAGTGGATTTTCCAGAACCACTTTCTCCCAAGAGTGCTGCAGTCTAAGACATGAGACATAGTGAAAAAAAAAAATCTCAAGTCAGTAACATAAAAAGGGACTGCATGCATCTTATTTATTTACCACACTAAGATCTTGCCTTCTAGTTTCTTTTTTTTTTTTTTTTTTTCAGTTTGTGAATCTATAATAATACCAGTCACTTTAACTAATCTCTTACCTTGCCTGCAGGAATAGACAAGCAAAAATCGTTAAGCACTTGAATGTGTGGCCTTGATGAATAACTGAAGTTTACATGCTGGAATTCTAAACTTCCTTTTAGGCTCTCAATGGTCAAGCCTGTATCCAATGATGAATCTAGCTTTGATTCAAGATTGAGAATAGAAGAGACAGATCTCAAACAGGGCTTGACAACGTTGAACTCTCTTAAGAGTCCTAGCCAGTTGGTGACATTTAGTACTTCATCTGTCAGTGCAAAAAGTGCCTGCAAAGGGACAAAATTCAAAGGTCAGACAGGCACAATGTGGACGAAGCTTCGAGCAGGGAAATAAAACCCATGGAAGCAAAACTTCAGCTGTAAGCTTTTACTGTTAAGTTTGATAGCATTATTTCTTTTTGTCTTACTAACATTCCTTTCACTTGCATGTCGATTTCTTTTCTATGTCAGAAAGCTAAATTATTCTGAAACTAATCGCTGTTGTTAAACTCTGACATTCGCAAAAAATATGTTATGTCCAAATGTGGGATACATACAAGATAAAAAGTAGTACTAGTTGCTCTTCCATCCCTTATAAGAGTGGCCCCAACATAAAAAGTTGCTCCATAGATGAAATACAAAAGGAAGGATGATAACCCATATGAAGCTCCTCCAGCATAAGCACATTTGATTCTCTTCTTCAAGGGGCCTTCACATTTGATCTTGAATAATTGCAGCACCTGTTTGTCAGCACTAAATGATGCAACAGTCCTGATATGCTCAACTGCATCTTTTGTAACTTGTCCTGCTTCCTCATAGAGAACCTGCCACCAAGAAAAGCATAGCTATTAGGTGAGACATCAAAGTTAAAAATGGACATCTTCTCTAAATGATATAGCAAATGAAGCAAAATCGAGGAGTGGATCATTAGATTAGATAATCAAATGTCAGTAAAGAAAAATTATCAGGATCTTTCAAATATGCAATAGAAGCTCTTTTCACAAATAATCTAGCAATAATCCAAGACATTTTTAAGAGAAGAACTCTATATTGTGATGAAAATGTCCATATGAGTCATCCCTATTGGTACCTTCATTTCTAAGGATTTAATGGATTAAAATGATGAGACATACCTTGATTATTTTACTGGAGTTTCCATTGAATTTAAGTTCTAACCATCCGTTGAAAAGAACTAGAGGTATAAATGCTAAGCTAAGAACAGCTAGCTGCCACGATCCAGATAAAACCACAACAAGACCAGCAATTACTGTAACTGCATGCTGAACAACCTGTGGAGCTGCGTCCCTAATAAATTTGGTTAGTGTTTCCGCAATTGTGGACAATCTAGAGCTAAGTGCTCCACTTGAGTTATCCACATGATCAAACCAATCAACTTCCATGTGCACAATCTTGTTGAAACATAGGGGATTTACTGCCCTCAATAACCAACAACTAGCCTGAATTAGGATATATTTCTGACTAACTGCTGCCACCGGTGATATTAGAGCAACCACTGCAATGATTATGCACCAAAATTTGATTTCCTTTTGAAGCCTTCCAGCTTCCAGATTGAATGCTCCAATCACGTAGGCAATAATAACACCAAAAATTATAGGTATCAAGGCCTTGGTTATAGTTGCAACGAGACCAAGAAACAGAAAAAAAACCTGTTTCAATCTTACAAATCTCCAAAACTTAATAATGGTCTTCTTTGATGGGTATGATATTTCCGATGATGGAAAAACATCTCCCGAAGATTTTCTCAAAGATGCCCTTTTGCTCATAGAGAAAGGACCAATTGAGTTTTGTTTATTGGATTCTTCTCTGATATTCTGCATCTGAATCAGTTGACAAAATGGACCATTTTGATCCATAAGTTCGGAGTATGTACCTAAGGCACAAACCAACAAGCAAAACATATTGAGCTGGTATAAAACGCAACGACGTGAATGAAAAATCACCAATTTTCTTAGTTTCTTGCCTTATTTTAGTGAAAATTAACTAACTAAAAATTTTCAACTACATTTAGTCAACCACATTTAATCTACTACCTTATGCTTCTCTATTCAGCTGTCCTCTAGGACTTACCTTCTTCAACAATGGACCCACGTTCAAGAACAAAAATCTTATTTGCATTTGCTACGGTACTCATGCGATGAGTTATAAGCAAGGTTGTTCTGCCAACAGAAATCTTGTTTAATGAATCTACGACTATCTGTTGTGACTCTAAATCCAATGCACTAGTCGCTTCATCCAGAAGGATTATGCGTGGGTTCTTCAGAACAGCTCGAGCTATGGCGATTCTTTGTTTCTGTCCTCCTGAAAGCTGAACTCCATTTTCACCAACCATTGTGTCAAGTCCCTGCATATTTAGGCTTGTGAATAGATAAAGCATGGATTCTTGATGTGGTAGTTTCAACATCTAGTACGACATCAATATATTTGGTTGACTAGACATATAGGGAATTAGATCATGCATGCTTAATCCTTTCTTAACCAACAAAATGAGATGAAAAGCGGTGTTAGCATAAGCATTATATTCTTATCATTGAAAATCAATCAAATGCAGAAATGTCTTACAAGTTAGAATTGAGAAAGAAAACCATGCTTTTTAGTTTGCACAAACTTTACGCTGGAGTCGAGAAGAGAAGGTCTATTATTTTTAAGCTGTATGAAGGTTCTAATGTTAAAGAGTAAAACCAACCTGAGGCAACTCTTTGAGAAACTTTTCAGCATTGGCAAGTGCTATGGCAGCTCTTATTTCTTCTTCTGTCACATCGTCCCTTCCAAATGTAATGTTGTCCTTGATGGACAGAGTAAAAAGTACTGGTTCCTGGCTGACAAGTCCAATCTTCTTTCTTAAATGTTCTAGTCTTAATTCCTTCAAATCAAAGCCATCTATGAAAATGCCACCAGAATCAGGATCATAGTACCGTTGTATTAGACTAACCACTGTTGACTTCCCACATCCACTCTTTCCTACTAAAGCAGTTTTTGAGCCATGGGTTATGGTTAATGAGAAATTAGAAAGAACTTCAATATTCCTTCTTGATGGATATCTAAAAGAAACATTTCTAAATTCAATTTCTCCTTCAACATGATCTAGAGTCTTCCCGTGGGAATCGAATGCATCTATCCTGGACTCTCTATTGATTATACGGAAGATGTTTGATGCTGCAACCCGTCCTCGAGGGAATGCTGAAAAATTCCCAATTGCATTTACCAGACAACTGTTTCACAAGAAAATTTTAGTGAACAATATTCTCATTTGATTAAATAGAAGCATCATTTAGAGGAAATTTTGCTTAGTGGTTAACAAATATAATGCAAAGATCCACAAAAAGATTACTAACGTCGTTCCAGAATTTATGTATGTTGCTACTGTGATCAGATCACCTCTCGAGTAACGATCGTCCAGGACAAAACGTGAGCCATACCATATAATTAAAGAGAAACCGCAATACTCTATGAAATCTATCAAATAGATAATACTCCCCCCTGCAGCAATGCCAGCTCGTGTCAGTGATCTTTGAACCTCTTCTAGAGTTTTCTCGTACTTGCTCATAGTTTGTCTCTCGCCATTCAGTGATATAACCTGGAAATGGACAGAACAATCTAGGCACCACATATCCACAGTCAAATACAATTCGACTGGAATCTAGTAGAAACGTGTGAGATACCGTTCTTATAGAAGCCAATGCCTCCAGAACAACCGAGTCTCCTTTAGCATAAGCTACCCCTTCATTTACACACTCTCTAATCAAAATCTTAATGCCAAAATGGCCAAACAAAGTGATTGGCAGAATTGTCCAGCACATAACTGCAGCCATTTGCCATGCTTGGCTGAATGCCATGATCATCCCTCCTATGAATGTTGCCATGAGTTTTATGAACAAGCCCACCTGTTAAAGGCAACGGAGCATTTCCAGACTTAGTTTGATACATTTTTAGAAAAATTATATTCTGAAGGTGGATTTAGAAGTGGTAAACAGGAACTTATAATAACAAGAAGATAAAAAGTACTACAAGTTATTGAGTAGAGTTTTGCTTCTCAACCACCCGTGAGGTTTTTATTAGCTGGTAATTAATGTGGTTGATAGTTTTTTTAATTTAGCAATGCTAACTTAACGTACTATAGAGCAAAGTAGAACCAAAGCACATTCAGATTCAAGATTTCCAATTTACAGTGTTTATAAATACAACTAGGATTAATACGAGTCTCTGACTTCCAAGCAATTACTGACATATCACATGCCTAACTTTTCTCTTGCTTCAGTGCTTTTAGAGTTGAGAAAAGTGTGCTTTTTTATATTGAACACCCAAAAAAAAAAAAAAGAAAAAAGGCTACAGCTTAGCAGGAAAACCAGTTTTTGGCAAACGCTAGTAGGCTAAAAACGAACCCGGTAACCTATGGCTGCATCAGTTCTGCCGATATCTCTTGACATGTTACCAATAACTTGTCCTGTTTTTATTTCTTCATCAAAGAATGTAATATCTTGTCTGAGGAGGCTTCTTAAGTAGGAGTAACGCAGATTTGATACTTGTCTTTCTGCAGAGACAGCCCAGCAGATTCCTCCTATTAAAGACCATTAACGGATTATTATTTTAGGTATTATGTTCATAACACAATGATAATTAATCAACATAAAATTAGATAAAGCGCCAGTTGTGCATGATATACAGATTAAATAAACTGAGAAGCAGCCTTCATAGCTTCACAAGGGCAAACTGAGAAGCAGCCTTGACAGTGCATTCTTTGTTAGTTTTACTAACTGATCCTTAAACGTAAAAGATTTTGGCTCTATCATCTTCCTAGGAGGCTATACTTTTATTCCCTAAGTTTTTGAGTCAGCCGATTAAAACGTACCCCACATATAAAAATGTGTGCAAAAGTTTTTGAAGCTTTGCTTTGAACAATGTTAGAGTAGAATGAAAACAAGGACAAGACTTACTGATGAAAGAAGCTACTGTGGCAGCAATTCCCATGTAGAGTAGCTTTTTTACAACCTAACAAAATACAGAAAAATGAGCATCAGTAACATCATATAAGACCTGTTGAACTTAATTAGTGCATTGCTTTTTTCATGATTTGAAACAAAAATATTAGCTTCGTTAAGAAACCCGAATTACTCACTCGTATTCGCACCAGAGCTTTAGATCACGTTTTTTGTGATAATACAGGAGAATACATCTCAATGGATATATGGCCAATTTTGCAAATAACGGAAAGAAGAAACAAAACAAGCATTGGTGCATGATAGAAAGGTATTTGTCTCCACCTCCCTACCTCAGAATAAAAATGCCAAAGGATGAATATAACAGACAGAGTTGTCTGAGGAAGAAATTCAACATTAGTTGAAAAGTTAAAATTCCTGTTTACCTATCGAAATATATGTTGAGGGATCAAGAACAACTAAAATTCTGACTCTCAAACGTGCTCCTCCACTACCTATAAAGATGTTTTAGTATCAATGATTGGGATCCAAATCCAACCCTTAATAGTTTTTATCTGCTGCCATTAATTCAGTTCTCATCATCATAATCTCATTTCCTAAAATTGGTCACGGCACGAGCACAAACAAGCAAAACAGATTTGTGTTGTCTTTTCATATAGAAATTCTTGTGGAGTCTAGTATAAAATAATCAGGAACTATAATAATGGTATATGTATTATTACTCTAAGGTCTATACAAATTATAATATACTCAACAACGAAGCCACTATCTATTTCGGCCACATGAATATCAGGTTAAGCACAAGATGAATAAAAAAAATCAAGGAAACATATACAACCTCAATGACTTGATGAAACTTCTCAGGCTTTGCATGGAGGTCACTTGTGAAATCAATGGTCTGGCCCCAGAAACGAATTCTGTATACCAGAAGGAGGCCATCAACAATAGCAGCAACAGTTCCAATGATGATGAGGATGATATCAATTGTGTCTGCACATGAATAGAGTTTATAGTAAGGAATGACTTTTGAAGGCTGAGTATTGGCCTTTTCTGATCCTTTTTGTGCTGACAATGGTTCAAAATTTGCATCTAGAATGACTTTTGGTGAAGTCTCGGTAATTTCTTCACTGGCCTTTTCGTCTTTTCTTGATCCTTCCTGCGCTGGCAATGCTTCAGGATTGGCTTCAGAATCATCATGATGGCTCATTGTGGTTTGTGCAGGTATCTCTTGTGTCTTTCTGATAATCTGATGTTAATAATCTCCTAGCTAGGAAGAAAAATGGAAATTGAAGTGAAATACGAGAATATTTTAGGAGAATGCACATACAGAGAAGCGAAGTGGATTTTTGGAATTTGAAGGAATATGATACTTCGAACTTAAGCCTCCCTTAAAACCTTAAACAGTGGGAAATATTGAGACTTTTTATTTAATTTCTTTTTTTTCTGACATTAATTACAGAATCCCTTCAGTGGAGGCAATGATTAAGATGTTATCCATTTTTGATATTGTAGTATCCTCCTCATCATTATTCATAAATTTATGCACCAATTACTATTTCGAGTTAAAGATTTTTTTTCCCTTTTCTTCGTAAAATGGCAATGTCCTCAGTCCTCCTCATGGTTATTAAAAGAAATTTACGTGCCAATTGTTTATCAGTTTGGCTAATGCGGAGGCATCGGCTCTTAGTTAATTGGAGAAAATATCTAAATGCAGGGGTGCAATAATTTACATGATGAGTTGAAATTTAGGTGTGCTGGAAAAAATCCTTTACTTTCGTGAGCAAATCATTTTTGCCCATTTATATATTCAACAAGTAGTTTGATTATACTCGTATTCCCTAGTCTGTCATCCTCATTCAACCTCCCTAATCTATCATCCGCATTCAACCTCATCTTCTAAAACTCCTGAATTTTTGCATTCTTTCCGGTGCCATTTATATTTAACAAGTTGATATGAACCCCAACTAACTTGCATTAGGCCAACACTCAAAGCGTCATCAGCCTTAAGTAAACGAAATTTTCGTGGACTTGAATGTGACTCTAGATCTTCTTGTTCTCATCATTCCCCTTCTCTTGAGAAAGATTTGTCCTCAAATTTGAATGGAAAAGGATGGAACACAGCATGAACACCATACATTCCACTGGGATCAAAGACTTTAGGAACCTCTACTAGCTTCACGAAGCCATAATCAAGCCAAGTGCCATGTTCAAAGACAACAAGGAGAAACCCTCTTAGGAAAGATAGCCACAATGCATGTTGCGCTCGTAATCGAAAGAGACTCACGGAGACAAATGGAGCAATGAACCAAACTTTTTGCATATTGTTAGAAGCATAAATCAGCAAGTTAGGAATATCTTTCGGATCTTGCTTGACACAAATATCCATGTTGTCCAACATATGAGGCAGCAAAAAGTTGAAATCCACTTCATATGAATCATACGGCCTAACAATACTTGAAGTAGACAAAAGGAATAATTGAACACCAAAATTTGGAGGCTGGAATAGGTTTGAAAAATCACAATCTTCTGCTAGAAAAAAACTCTCAAAACTGACAGCAACAAGCACTAAAGTATGCATCAGATTTGAATGCACTTCGTGAGGTGAAATTGGAAATAGTCGAACAGCTTTAAAACTTCGTGATTGGAGTGCATCTACTACCGTCGCCACTTCATTATGATGCACAACAAGTAGACCAGTCTTGAAGTGTATCATGAGTTGATAACAATGAGTGACAACACTCAAAGTACACACTCCATGGAAACTCTTGAACTTGCCAATGGATTTAGACATTGAACAATTAAAGATGAAGGTGATGGCTCCTTGCTCAACCTGTACAAAAGAAGAGACACTAAACAAAGCATAGTTAAGGTCATTAGGAAAGCAATAAGTCCCCTCACTCTCATTTTTGTTGGCACTCAAAATCATCTCACCTCCCTTCTGTTCTTCCTCTTTCTTGCTCAACTCATTTGATTTTTCATTCACTTTCTCCTTTGTGCTTCCCTCAATTTTTACCTCCCAATTCTCACACATTTCCTCTTCAACTAATGCTTGACTAGTAGCTAGTGTAGATGGAATTTGAACTCCTTTTGTTCATGCTTGATGCATGAAGACTCTTCACCAGTAATGGCCTCAACAAAATCCCCTTTAAGAGATGCTTGAGCATTGCATGTAACAGTCTCCTTCATTTGCGTGGTGATGGCTCCTTGCTCAACCTGTACAAAAGAAGAGACACTAAACAAAGCATAGTTAAGGTCATTAGGAAAGCAATAAGTCCCCTCACTCTCATTTTTGTTGGCACTCAAAATCAGCTCACCTCCCTTCTGTTCTTCCTCTTTCTTGCTCAACTCATTTGATTTTTCATTCACTTTCTCCTTTGTGCTTCCCTCAATTTTTACCTCCCAATTCTCACACATTTCCTCTTCAACTAATGCTTGACTAGTAGCTAGTGTAGATGGAATTTGAACTCCTTTTGTTCATGCTTGAT